TGCTCACTAGTAGCTACTGTCCACACGCTACCCCAATACCTACTACCCACTATTTCCTACGCTCTACTCACTACTCGCTACTGCCCACTCACCACTCAGTACTCAGTACTCACTACAGACTACTCACTGCCCACTACTCACCACCCACTAATTACTACTCATTATTCACTACTGGCTACACACTCCGCTTGCTTCCTGCTCACTACCCCCTACTCACTAGTACCTACTCACGAATCACTACTTACCCGCGTCTCGCTTCCAACGTCCCACTACTGACTACTCACTGCTCGCTGCTCCGATTCACTACACACTACTCCCTGCCCGCTCGTCCCTGCTCACGACCTTATTTGCATCTGCTCACTACACAGCCCCCCCTACTCCGCACAGTCGACCCAGTAATCAATACTCACTACGCACTACTCACTACTCACTGCTCACAACTCACAAGCCACGAATCACTATTTACAACCCTCTGATCTCGCTGCAAACGACTGACCACTCACTACCCCCTACTCCCAAATCGCTACTCACTACTCACAACATACGATCTACTACCCACTCGCTACTCACTGCCCACCACCCACTACCCACTACCCACTACCAAGTACGCACTACTCACCACGCCCTACGCACTACACGCTACTCGCTAAACACTACCCACTACTCACTACCCACTATGTACTACGTACTTCTCACAACCCCCTACTCACTACTCAGTCCTGACTACTGACAGCCTACTACCCCAAAACCCACTTCTCACTACTCCCTACTCGCTACTCGCTGCGCACCACTGCGTACTCACCACCCACTATTCACGACGCACTACCGACTACTCGCTGCCCACTACACACTATCCACTACCCACTACTCACGACATTTTACCTTCTACTCACTATTGACTGCTCACTTTTCCTTACTTCCTCACTACACCCCACTCACTACTCAGTACTACGACTCACGACTCAGTCACTACTTACTCACCTCTCACTTCTAACGTCCCACTGCGCACGTGTCACTACTCACTGCCCACTTCTGCACGTCTCAAAACTCACTACTCATTTTCCACTACTTACTAGTATCTACTCACTACTCACTGCTCCCAACTACCTGCTCACGACTAGCTGCTCAGTACTCACAACTCCCTACGCAATACTCACTACTCACTGCGCACTACGCACTACTTACTACTCACTACGCACTACTCACTACTGACTACTTACCACTCACTACTAACTACTCACTACTCACAACATTCTACTCACTTCTTACTACTCACTACTCAATACTCACTACCACCTACTGCGACGCCCTACTCGCTACTCGCTACTCACTATCCACTACCCACTACTCACTACCCACTTTGTTGTACACACAATTCTCCACACACCCACGCCCTACTCACTACTCTCCACAACACTACTCACTACGCCCTACTCACTACTCGCTACTGACTACTGACTACCCACTACCCACTACTCACTACCCCCTACTCGCTATCCACTACTGCCTACTTACCACTCACTACTACTCACTACCGACCACTCACTACCCACTACCAACTACGCACTACCAACTACTTACTCTTCACTACTCACTACTGACTACTCACTTCGCCTTACCCACCCCGTTCTCACTACTCACTACTCACTACCCACGACTCACGACTCACTACCTACTCACGTCGACCTTCGCGCGTCTCACTACTCACTACTCACTACTCACTCCGTATCCACTACTCAGAACTCACATCTCACTACTCCCTACTCCCTACCCACTACCTACTTCTAACTACTATCTTATCACTACTCGCTAATCCCAACTACCTACTCGCTACTTCCTACTCACTACACAGTACTCTCTCTTCACTACTCACATCGCACTTCTCACTACTCACTACGCATTACTCACTACTCACTACACTCTACGCAGTACGCCCTAAACACTACCGTCTACTCACCAATCATCACGCACTGTTCGGTACTCGCTGCTCACTACTCTCTACCCACCTTCTCCGTCGCAAACGGAGAAGCGGGAGATGCCCCTTTGCCCGGCCACCTGTCCGGCGCAAAGGGGGGAGGGGTTCGAAATCCCCCCCCCCCCTTCCGCCCTCTTCCAGCGCAAAACGGGAGAGGGTCCGGACCCCCGTCCCGTTCCAAAAGGGAGGGGGAAGACGCCGAAATCCCCCCCTCTTTCAAGGATGGGGTTGGGTCCGAAATGGGAGGTTCTGCGAGCCCCCCCCCCTTTCAAATTAAAGGGGGATCCACTGGCGCTCTTTCGATGATGCTGATGATGGTGATGACGATGATGATGATGATGATGATGATGATGATGATGATAATGGTGATGATGATGATCATGAGTATGATTGTGATTATGATGATGACGTCGACGACGTCGATGATGATGATTATTGTAGTGATGATTGAGATCAGAATGATGAGAATGATGATGTTGATGATGATGATGATGATGCTGATGTTGATGCTGATAATGATGATGATGATGATGATGATGATGATGGTGGTGATGATGATGATGATGATGATGATGATGATGATGATGATGATGATGATGATGATGATGATGATGATGATGATGATGATGATGATGATGATGATGATGATGATGGTGGTGATGACGATGATAATGATGCCGACGATTGACACAGCGATGAAGACGACGCTCAAAATGATGGTGATGACGATGCTAATGATGATGCGGAGGAGGGAGATGCTGGGAAGAGGGATGAGGAGGAAAAGGAGCGTGGGATGAGGAAGAGGACAGACGAGGAGTGCGAGGGAAGACGAGGTTGAAGAGGGAATGTTGAGGTCGTCTGTCGTCGCCTTCGTCGTCACCGACGTCGTCCTCGTCCTCATCCTCCTCCTTGTGGTCGTCTTCTTCGGTCGTCGGTCGTCGGTCGCTGCTGCCGACGCGCTCTGTCGCGCCGCCCGCCCCCCCTCCTGGGAAGAGGTGAGGACGAAGGCGAGGAGAAGGATGACGATGACGATGATGAGGAGCAGGGTAAGGATAGCAGAAGGATGAGAAGCATGAAAAGGATAATACTTGAGGCGGACGAGGAGGGATGATGAATAGGATGCTGACGATGATGATAATGGTCATGGTGATGATGATGATAGCGATGATGATGATGCTGATGATGATGATGATGATCAGTATGATTATGAGGCTGATTATGATGATGATGCTGCTGCTGCTGATTATGATGATGATGATGATGATGGCGATGCTGACGATGATGATGACGATGATGACGATGCTAATGGTGCTCGTGGTGATGTTGATGATGATGACGACCATGCTGACGCTGATGGTGATGATGATGCGAATGACGAATGCGATGACGACCACGATGATGGCCATGAAGATGATAGTGGTAATGATTATGATGACGATGATGATGATGACGACGAGGATACCGTTGATGCAGCCGCTGCTGCTGCTGCTGATGAGTAGGATGATGACGATGATGACGATGATGATGATGATACTGATGATGAAGATAATGATGATGATAGTGGTTATGATGATACGGCTGATGATGATGATGACGACGATGATGATATTGAATGTAATGCTGCTGTGTCGTTGCTGATCATGAAAATGGTGATGGTGATTGTGGCAGTGATGATGAAGGTGATGATGGCGATGGCGATGCCAATGATGATACGGATGGTGATGCGAGGAGGAGGAGGAGAAGGAGACAGATCAGGAGCAGGATGAGGAGGAGGGAGAGGAGGAGGAGGAGGAGGAAGAGGAGGAGAGGGAACGCGAGGAAGGCTGCCACATGTAAGGCCTTGTCGTCCCCACTTCTTTGGACCTCTGACGGAGCTTGTTTGGGCCAGCCCGCGCGGCCAGCGGAACACCTTTCTCTGGTGTGTGTGTGTGGCACAAAGAGATGCGCGGAGGGTTTGTTGCTCACTTCAGCGTCGGAGTCGACGCGCTGAGTCGGCACCGCGGCAGGCGTGCGGGCACTGCGGCGTGCCAAAGAAACCAGACCATACATGCACAACACCGTGCTTATACCTACGCGCATACATACATACAGACAGACAGACAAACAGACATACAGATGTATAAAAACATATGTACGCGTACACACATAAAGACCCACACACACAGACACAGACACACACACACAACGTTTTCTGCGTTGACTCCGTGCGTGAGCTCGCACACCGACGACTCGGGGAATGGGAATCAGAGAGACGGCGGGGAGGGGGGCTGGCAGGAAGGGGGGGGGGCAGAGGGGGAAAATGAGGAAGTGGAGAGATTTGTGGAAAGGTCCGAGGGTTCATTTCGAAGGGAAGATCACCACAGCCGGTCATTATGAGTCCTGGTCTTCAGGAGGGCCGTTTTGAGCCCCGTGGCCAGCAAACAACTACCCAGGATGAGGGCTCGGTGCCCATAAGGGGGTCGAGGGGCCCAGGGACTCTGTCACGAAGGACGGAAAGCACGACGTCGGATGTCTGGGCGGAAAAGAAAAAACGGCGTAAACATCTAACTGTCGGAGGTCCGCGCTGAGTTCTTGGATCGGCGCTGACCCCCCCGGCGACGCTTCTGGTGGCGCTTCTGGCGACGCCCCTGGCGCGCTGCGCGCAGCAGTGAGGGCGGCCCAGCGCTGGTCCAAGAACTCCGCGCAGAGCTGTGACAACTCATGTCTATGCTGTGCCTCTGCGTCGACTTGGGGGAGGAGGATAGTTACGATGAGGAAGCCAGAGATGTATGCACATGCACCGACCCTGGACTGGTCCGTCCTGGGCCCTGGATCGGTGCATACTCCCCCCTGGGCCGGCTTCCAATTTAGTGGCGTTTAGTGTGGCGCGGCGGGAGGCGCTAGTGCAATTTAGTGCAATTTAGTGGCGCGTAGTGCAATTTAGTGGCGTTCAGTGCAATTTACTGGCTCGGCCAGGGAAATGGGCCTGGCCAGGATCGGTGCGCGTGCACATTCCGCAGCGCCCGACGAAGGCGCACGGCGCGGCCTGATGCTGTCGCTGTCGTCCTTGCAAAGGCCGAACTCGAAAATCTCTCCCTTCTCCAGAAGCACCGGGTCCCCCGCTAACTCCGCGACGCGGAACTTCGGCCCCTCGAGGGGGAGGGAGGAGAAATGGGGGAGGGCGAGCAGGAAAATGGTCGACAGCCTCCTGAGAAGAAGAAGAAGACGCATAATACATAACAATAGCACTGATAATGATGATGATAACAACAATACTGAATCTAAGAATGAACATCATAATATATGAAGCTACTATGGACAAGACGCATGGAAAAATACTAAAACTATTCATGAGAAAAAGACGAAGACTAAGAATCATTCCAAGAATAAAAACACATAGACAACGAATACCAAGCAACATACCAAGAAAACTACACGGCGGTGGACACGCGGGCACCCCGACCGGGACCGCATGTGGAGCCCCCCGCGGGGGCACCATCCTTCTGGGGGATGCGCCGACCAGGACGGTGTGCGGTGTGTGGGTGTGCTCACTGAAGCGGTGGGCCTGTTTTCCACCACTACCACCATAGGAGCAGGAGGGGGAGGAGGAGGAGGGAGGAGGAGGAGGAGGGGGAGGAGGAGGGAGGAGAGGGAGGAGGAGGAGGAGGAGGAGGAGGAGGAGGAGGAGGAGGAGGAGGAGGAGGAGGAGGGAGGAGGAAGGAGGAGGGGGGAGGATTTTTCCCAGTGCGCCGCTGCCAGCCAACCTCCAGAGTGCAAAGGATGCAGGGGTTGCCTGGCAGGGAAAAAGAATTACGCCATCCAGCTCGTGGAGGTCTTAGACGGCGGGAGGCCCTTGCAAACCCGCTGCAAAACCTCGAGCTGGCGTTTGTGATGGCATGCGGTCCCAACGCGGCCACGGGACAAGGCTCCCGCAAGGAGTCAGGGCGAGCTATTGCCCACGAGCCGCATTCACCGCAAAAAGTGAAAACACCCTTATGCCACAAAACGTGTGACGGGTGGACCGCCTTGCCCGCGACCCAAGGGGCAACACGCTGGGGGGGCGGGTCGAGCCCCAGGCGACGCCATAGGGCATCATCCCTGGCGGCCAGGGCCCGACCTGGCCTCGCCCACTTCTTCACGGTGACCTCCTCCGCCACCGCCGACTCCGAACCCCCAACTCCACCTCCTCCACAAGCAGAGCAAGCCGAGCGGAGCCTCGCACGGAGCGAGGGGGGCAGCATCGGAGATCGAAGCCTTGCACATGCCACAAGTCCAAACGCCAGAACCGAACTCCCAAACGTGCGACGAACGCCTCACATCAGCTTCGATCCACCGACGCCTGCGGAGCACAAGATCAATGGGCTGCTTGCGCAGCCTGCGCTCTGGCTCGGCCTTGAGGGCAGCACACTCGAGAATGATAGAGGCGTTGCGCTTGAGGATGGCGCAAGCATTGCCAACCAGCTCATTTTAAGCCTGAACAGCTCCATTCGGAACCTGGCATTCCCGAGCACGCAATTTAGCAAGCTCATCAGCGACAGAGTTGAGCACTACCTGGCCCCAGTCTACAGAGTCGCCAAAACGGGCGAGCTGTTGGGGATCCTCCAACAGGTGGCTGGGAACATGAAAAAGCTGGAAGTCCCCAGGTCGCTCCGAGAGGAGCTGCCAGAATTCCCACCAGAGATCAAAATTTGCCAGCCTCGCAGAGGCAGCACGGCCAGCCAGGAAACCTCTGACAATATTGGCATGGTCGGTGACCACGCGCAGAGCTTGGGCAGGGTCAACGCAACGAAGGCACTCAACAATGGCCGCAAGCTCTGCGCGGGGAACCGTCTGTCGAACCGAGTCGAGTACACCTGTGACTCCACAATCCCAATCGAAATCATCGCTAGGGCGGAAGCGCGCAAAAGGCAAAGGCAACTCGTCGGAGGACAGGAAACTTGGCAAACTGCCCTCCCGTGCCATCAGTGGCATAGAGGCCTCCTGGCAGACAGCCTGGAAACAAGGCCCCAGGACAACGCCGCCCCTGGAGGTCCCTGGAATCGGGCACAGGAGGGAGGTTGAACCAGGAAAGGGGAATAAGTCCACGCATCCAGAAACACGGATACTGGAGAGCCTCCTGCTGGGCACCGTGCCTAAGGTGCTGAGAGTCAACAATCTCCTGGACCTGCGAAGAAGCATTACGCATGCACTCCCAAAACCTGTGGCAGGAGGTCTCGGGGTCACGCTGGCAACGCCTACAAATGGGATCAGGAGCCATCTGGGCCTTGTGCCTTCTCTCCTCGGTCCAATAGCCTCCAGAGACCAAGAGCCGAATCATAGCCGCGAGGTCCCGACGCCCATCCTTCTCGAGGGAGGCAACAAGGTCCCAGACATGGTGAAGAGAGGCAGGCCCCTGGATTCCAGCGCTATCTAGGTGCCCGGAAGCCTGGCGCCACTGCAGGGTGTCGATGGAGTCGTCAAAGGCCTCGAGAAGAGGGCCTAGCGGGCCGTGCCCGCCCTCCATCATCTGCCACTCGTCACCACAAGGCGCGATGAGTGAAAGGTGATGGGCACTGCCATCCTACCGCCAACATCGTGGCTTGAAATGCCGCCATCGGACCACGGACCCAGGACCACCCTTTTCGGACCTTGGCCAAGGAGGCCGCCCAGAGACAGGCCAGGCGACGGAGGAGCCCAGGGCGGCCCGCACGGCAAGCAAACCACGACTTCACGACACGCCGAACGTAAACCTGGATGGGGGTCCTGGCCATAGCCAAAAGTGAGACGGATAGCGGTTGTGGCACACACACACACTCCTCTCCGAGGGGTCTTGCTGGCAGCACGAGCCATGCTGCGGAGGCATTTGCGCATGGAGGGAGAGACGCCGTGAACCTCGGGTGCCCACATGGCCTTCGCGTAGGCACTAGGAAAGAACAATTCACTGGCTTGCCTGCACGTGCGCCCAAAACTGAAAATCTTACTAGTGGCATCCCGCCCCTGGGTGAAACGGGTCTTCCTGACAGCCACAGTCCTTCTGGCGCCCAAAGCGGCGTCGTGCCCCAGATCCCTGGCGGCCAGAGCCACGGAGAACTCGCAGCCCTCACTGGCACCAATCCTGGAAAGCTCAGCCCGAAGGCCTGGCGAGGACGCGAGCAAATGGGACTTTCCCAGGGACAACTCACAGCGACGCCTCCTGAGGCCAGTGAGGAGGGCTCGAAGCAGGATGGGAAACGTAGCAACGATGGGCGAATGCGTGCCGAAAAGACGAGCTGGGATATCATCAACCCACTCCCGCAGCCTAAGGCCACCGACCGATCCATTGGCTCCTGCGAGGGGTTGGTGCAAATGGGCCCGCGCAAGGGAGGTGGCCTGGCCGCGCCCAGCCAACGTGCCCCCATGAGCCAGGATCCCAGGATGGACAGCCCCCTCCAACGACAAATGCCGAACACCCAAGTAGATATCGATGGCCAGGGCCAACAGACGGAGTGGGTAATATAATTCTCGAGCCGCCCCCCACCAAGTCCTTAAGACAGACTTGGTCGTACTACTTCTTCATGTCCAGTACAAAGCCCCCGACCTGGAAACCGCTGTGGAGGGCAAGTTCCGTTTCAAGCTCGTCAAGCCAACCAGCCACGTCGGCCGAGCCCCCAACAGTCTGGCCCCAGGGCCCGCGCGCCCCACGGTCCCAAGCCGCGATGAAAGGCTTCCTGATGCGCAAGAGAAGCGTATAAACAAAGCCGAGCAGCGCAATTGGCCTTTTTCCCCCGTCAGGCTTCGGAATGAGGGCGATCAAGGCAAAAAGCTGCTGAACAGGCAGCAAAGTGCACTGCTCCTCAATGGACTCTAGAAGCTGAATGAGGTGGAGCTTGGCCTCAACACTAGCCTCCTTGATTAAGCGCGGCTCAATAAAATCCAAGCCCTGGCCCCTGGAATCAGGCAACGACTTGAGCGCGCGATTAAGGGTGTCCAGGTCGATTGGTGGCAAACGCGGGGACGACCGAGCGCACTTACGCAGGGCAGCTAACGCAGCCCGCGCCTCGCCCTTGTCGTGGTGTTGCCAGATGGCCGCCCACGCGGCCGCTTCAAATTCCAGGAGCTGATCTAGGGCTGGGCAGGGTCCTTCCTCACCGATCTCTTCGGCCTCCAGAGGGTCCAGGGGTGGCTTCAACAGCCGATGGGCCGGCCCCGCAGACCTGCAAGGCGCCCCCTGGAGCCAGGCCTTCCACGAAGCCTTCTGAGCCTGAAGGGCGTCACGGTGAAATTTTTCAGACACCTGCTGAAGCTCAACTAGCAAGTCTTGCAGCCCGTCGAACGGCAGCTCCGAAATACGCTGAAAACGAATCTTCCACAAGTTAAAGGTTCCACACTGACCCGCATCGGAGGGGTCAGACGGGGGAGGGGGCACCTGCCGAGAAAGCGAAGTGGCACGAAATTGAGCTGCATGCTTACGGTCAGGCTGCGGCGGGATATCATCTATGGAACCCTGCGGGACAAGCTTAAGCAACAGCCTGAGTTTGACAAAGGCAGCTTGCCAGAAACGGGCGTCACGGTCTGTCTGGCAGGGCCCCTCAACCTGGGCGGCCGTGAGGGGCACCAAACGCAGCCTGGGCTCCTGGCAACGACCTATAAACTGGAAAACCTCAAGCTCCAGAGCAACAATCCAGAGAGAGACCTGGATGTTGCCATGCTCGAGCTTGAGGAGACTGGCAGCGGCATAGTTGGCCTTGAAGAAGTCTGGCCGCTTACGTTGCAGCAGCTGCGCCTGCGCCAGGAAGTGCGGCCAGGCTTCAACAGGGGCAGCAACGCCTTTGACAGGAATGGGCTTAGGTCGCATGGCCTTCCATGCCATGATGGCCCTGGGGGGAGCCAAAACCTGAAACTCCAAAGCGGCGCGAGCGCCCCAAGGCAGTGGAACAAGCGACCTAAACTGGACGGCACTAGAGAAGCTAGCAGAGACCAAAGCGTAATCGATCCGACTGGTGGAGACCCCAGAGCACGTAACTGAAACACCAAGCATAGGAACAGGGGCGAGGCCGAGAGGCTCCAGCCAACCTGACTCCTCAAGAACACTCTGGTCCACCTGCCAGTCGCCCACCACAAAGGCGGGAACACCTGCCGCGCTCAGATGGGCGACGAGGTCCGCCAGCAGCTCGAGGTTCTGACCGCTGAGC